CACTTACAGTTCAACAATTTTAGGTGTGCACATTAAAAATTCTTCTGTGCAAACTCCCCAGAAGGTTTTCATTATACTGCCATAGCTGTAAAACACTACATTGATCCTCATCCTCCAACTTAATCTCGTTATCCACCTTGTTAAATTTATTTATTATCGGCGTAACATCCCAACACTCCAACCAGATCACAGATTTAGCAGAGAGAGGAAAATGTCATACCTGGATTGTTGTTAACGTTATTTTTGGGGGGTCGAGGTGTGGGTTTGGGCAGGGTGGTTTCAGTCAGTGCTTTGCTAGCAGCAGCGTGTTGGGCTTTTTTAATACTGCTCCCTTCAGCTTCCCAGGTCTGCTCCCCCAGCGTCAGCTGCACTGTGAACATCTTCAAAGACAAAGAACAGGTAAACACTGGCACAATTATCACCCTGGGCAACATTTGGCCTTTCAAACAACACAGTAAAATCGTGTCATGTTAACAGCAACTATCAAAGAACAGAATAATCTTTAAACCAAGTAAGAATAACTGCAAACTGATCTCCTGCTCTTGGAGGACAATAGAGAGGTCAGTTAAGACCACGTCCTTCACACATTTGAATGCATCTAGTCACCTTCTTAAAAAAAAAAATAAAGTAATTTTGCTATAATTCTGAATGGGTTTAAATGACTGCACGCTCCTCAAGGCAGCAGAGAATTTAGCCCAAATAGTTCTACCCAGTGAAAAATTTCTCACACAACCCATTACTGAAAATAATGTCCACCATTAGGGCAGAGTCACAACTCAAATACGTTCAGAAATGTAAAGTAAAAAAGAAAAGCAGCATTATCTTTTTGAAGGAAATTGCAGTTCTTTAATGTGGACTCTATAGTGAAGACAGGAACTGTAAAAATTCAGAGTTCGGAAACAGACTACTGATAAAAATCATATGTATTTCAAAATGTACAATAAAGGATTACTTCAAGCAGTATCTACACTGTGCAAGTTGTGAAGATAAAATTCAACGCATTAAGATACTAGATAGAGTCTATCTTCTGTGTGGTACCTACGTGTCCTGGTTAAATTTAAGCATCTAAGGACAAGAGGAGAAAGGGTAAGAACTCAATGCCTTTTCCATCTCAACTCCATACACACAGGGCAGGATTTAATAGCCAGGCACACGCAGTGAACTAAGACACACCTCCCTGGGAGAACAGACTAACTTACTTGAGGAGAAATCCATATATTAGTGTGAGCAGTATATAAAGCAAAATTTTCATTTTGATAGTTATTTGCTCCATCACTTTTAAAATGATTTAAACTTGCTACATCCAGGAGCAGGTACCTAGAGATGGGCATGGTGGACACCCTTTCAATCTGCCTTTATATATATTTTTTCATTTAGCACCTACTTCACTACATCCAGGACCAGGTACCTAGAGATGGGCATGGTGGGCACCCTTCAAATCTGCCTTATATATATTTTTTCATTTAGCACCTACTTGCCAACAGGAATGTGAACACGAGTATGTACGTGCCTCCCAACTCAGCCCGAAACACGCACATAGAGGATATGAACTGAATGCTATAAATACATAATTGTGTCTTAATTACAGGCTTGAGTTGTGGCCTGCTGTCGTTTTCAGAAGCACGTGCCAGTCACAGGTTCCTGTGGCAGGGTTGGTTTTTCCACAGTGGTTGTGGCAGTTTCCTCACACACAAGGGGGGAGGGAAACACAACCTCTGAATTTCACACTCTCTCAAACCCTGCCCCCACCTGACAGCCACACTGGCTATTATACCACTTATAATTATATAAATATCTATATCTATATAAATTATCTATAAACACACATCCTTATTACTAAAAGAACTGAAATTTGTTCTCCGGATCCGGAATGTATGTCTTATATTTTGCAAGAAAGTATCAGTGTAGTGTTTTTATAGGAGAATAATCTTTATTATCAATAAAAATATGATGAATAATGGCTACTTATCTACCTTTAACTCTCCTCCTAGTGCTTAGAGCAATAAACGGGAGTTCAAGATGATAAAGGTCTTGCTCAGTAAATCTCTGTATCAGGAGCTTTAACCCTCTCACTTAGCCTATCTGAGACTAAACTCCCATAAAAAAACCCACACACAGGAGCAGGTGGGAATTTAATTAAAGGAATAAAACTGCCTAAAATCAAAATCCAGAGCAGCCCATGAAGTACTGGAGCTCTGCAAGACCGGAGATGACAGTTCTGCATCTCCCACCCATTTTCTGAGGAAGTTTGTCTTTCTTCCATCCAGCCTGATTTACCCGATGGCTGGAGGTGGAAATGCAAAGGCCACTGTGCTCTGGGCTTGTCTTCTCTCCACTGCACTCACAAGCTCAGTGTCACTCAGCTCTGGAGACTCTTTCTCCTCACTTTTTCCTCATGTAGAACTTTCTCTACCTATGCTACCTATGTCCCTCACCCCTTCCCCTCTGCTGCACTCACAAGCTCAGTGTCACTCACTGAATTTCACTGAATTTCACTGAATTTCTAGAGTTGGAAGGGACCATAGAGATCATCTAGTCCAACTCCCCTGCTGAAGCAGCTCTGGAGGCTCTTTCCTCCTCACTTTTTCCACATGCAGAACTTTCTCTCCTCCTTCCCAGCCTTTTGAAGTTGCTACCTATGTCCCTCACCCCTTCCCCTCTTCTCTGTACCACTCACTATCCACTCCCTATGCCTCTGGTTCATCTCTGGAGATGCCACTGACATAGAAGAGATGACCAATCTGACTAATGAACTCAAAAACATCATTTAAGCTAACAAAGACTCTGATTTTTCTGATGATGAAGGATTCACCTGAAGGGCAGGCTCCTCAAAAGCCTGAGTGCACTGTCAGCAAATGTCACTCTTCTCCCAGCCCCACTCTTTGCAGTTTCCCATTTCATCCCAATTGGCAAAACTTACAGAATCACAGAATCTTCTAGGTTGGAAGGGACCTTAAAGATCATCTTGTCCAACCGTCACCCTAACTGACAAAAATAGACACCCACACAACAAACAAGGAGCATCATCACTAAACCATACCTCCCAGCACTACATCAACCCCTCTTTTGAACACCTCCAGGGATGGGGCCTCAACCACCTCCTGGGCAGGAGGTGGGTACTTTCAGAGACAATTAGGAAAAAAAATAAAGATTTCCTAGCATTTGTGGTCACGGCACAGACAGGTGTCTTGTAGTGGACGTCTCTGAAAAGCCTAAAAACCACTGGTGGAGAGGATCAGAGGGTGGGAGGAAGGCAACAGGAGAAGCTCCTTGGCTGGCAAACAGCAGCACCCTTCAGGTCATGCTTCCTAGGACAAGCTCAGCTGTTTCCTATGTTCTATTGGGTATATCTTCATATTCCCAGCAAGACATTACACCAAACTGCTAATATAGTCATAATCATTTCTATGTCTCTGCTTTCCATAGGTCAAGGGTACAAGTCTGCATCATCTTATTAATAGCAGCCTTGTCCTTCACCCCCTACCCTCCTTTGGTTTTCTCTACATGGGTCAAAATGGGACTTAATATTCTTCTGAGCCTACACAGCACATAGCTTTTTTTGACCAGTATGGGTGTGATTAAAAATAAGATGTAAATTGAAAAACAGAAATTAAGGAATCCATTGAAAAACTGACAAATTAAGGAATCCATTGAAAAACTGGCTTTCAAAAGTGTAGCTCATGCAGGCTCAAGCCATTTCAATGATACTCAGAGAATCCTACAATGGTCAGAGTTGGAAAGGACCTTAAAGATCATCAAGTTCCAACCCCTCTGCCCTGGGCAGAGACACATCCCACTAGATTAGATGTTAGTTCCTTTAAAAGTAATAACAAATATACACAAACTATTTCTTATCCTGCTAAAATTTGAAGTATTGTATGAATGTAACGTAACTCAAGTCCCCTTGCCTCTGAGGAATAGGAATGACCAAACCCACACCTTTTGGAACTTATTTCATAATAATAGGGAAAAAAGCTAATAAAATAAATATACAACACAACAGTGACAAGTGACAGAAAGCAGAACAGATTTAACACGCCACAACCTAAACCCACCCAGTGTATCCTGCGGTGCCTCCAGGAAGGGGAAAAACACCTCAATTCCCATTTGCAGTGAGGGACCCTAAAAGCTCACTGATCCTCAGCATCCCTGCACCTGCTGACATCAGCTCCACCAGCATAAAAGGTGCTCCAACTCCAGCCAAACCAGAAGGTCAGGGATTTGTATCTGCTCCGGGCCAGCTGACAACAGAACGTGCAACTGGGAAATAAGGGGCACCAGCAGAGAGCCAGCCCCCAATTAGCTGAAACTGTAATTAATCTGCAGCGTGACCCCGCTGTCTTACGGGGTTTTGCAACTCTTGAAATACTGAGTATAACATAGCTATTAATTATGGCAATTTTTCTCTCTGAGAGTTTTTCAGGCATTTTTTTCCTCCCCCAGCTTGCTCCTAACTAGGGAGGAAATTCAAAATTGCGTCTCAAGAGGATATCCCTCCGTGTTCCCCCATCATCTTAAACAGCAGAGAGCCAGCCCCCAATTAGCTGAAACTGTAATTAATCTGCAGCGTGACCCCGCTGTCTTACGGGGTTTTGCAACTCTTGAAATACTGAGTATAACATAGCTATTAATTATGGCAATTTTTCTCTCTGAGAGTTTTTCAGGCATTTTTTTCCTCCCCCAGATTGCTCCTAACTATTCAAAATTGTGTCTCAAGAGAATATCCCTCCGTGTTCCCCCATCATCTTAAAACTTCTGAATTTGTACTTATGGAATGAAGTTGGGTATCCAAACTGATAGGAGAACTGACCAGAATTAACTGTCAGATCACTAGAAACTTTAATGCTATAATCATATTAGGAGTCTTAATATCATTGTAAATCTTAAAGTTGCACAGAATTTAAAGGAAAGAACAGTAATAAAGTTTGTGCCCTAAAATGGGAGATCCGGAGATAGGGTATCAATGCAATGAACCTTATGGACACAGAATTGTATCAATAAGCACTTTTAAAAAATGACACAAACCAGTTCTGTCATCATCTGCGCTACCATGAAGCAAACGCGGAGGTGAAATTGGGGAGAAAGAGCTTAAAAAGCAAATGCTCCAAAATTATTGGAAAAAGGTGGTGATGTCATGGAAAGACCTTCACGAGGTCTTTATAGAGCCCAACAAACACAAACCCAAAGGTGGAAGTCAAAGTGAGGTACAAAACAACCGACAGGGCTTCAACAGAAACACAGACAGACTTTCTGAAAGCGCGTAAAAAAAGAGAAAAGAAAGCAAAATAAAGAAGAGTGAGAAAGCCCTTCCACTAGAAAAGTGGCTCGTCCAGAGCATGACATTATCCGTTCAGCATTTAAGGTACGTCCCGTCACCTGGAGCTGTGACCTTACCTTGGCATGAGCAGGCCCTCTTTCATTCAGGAGCTTATACTGGGGTTGAATTCTATTGAAACGGGCTAACTCATTTACCAGACACATTGGAGTTTTCTCTTTGGGGTTTGCCATGTTATCTTGGAGAGGAGCTGCAAACAAAGAGTCTGTAAAGTTTGTGTGGAGAAATGGATCCTTCACAACTTGGCAAAGCTTTGCAAAAAGCAGCAGCATGCTTAGAAAAGAAAACACTTTGGCTAAAAAAATAACTTTTGCACATATGCTAAATGCAGTGTTTAAATACTATTTAAACATTAATCATATAAGAATATGCATTTTACAATAGCCATTTTGATTACATGCAATTTTTTTTTTTTAAAATACAACTATTTCTTTCCAAAATGTTTCTATAAAAGATGACAGTGGAGAAGGACATAGACATACGCTACGTTTTCTACCTCACCAAAGTTTCCTGGTGGAATTATCCTGCTTCCAGGAACTGACTACTCTTTGAGAACAGTTCCTCCACACTTTGAAGCACAAGTGGGCAGCGTAAGGGTTGCAAGATAAATAAAGCAGATGAAACCCTGGGGTCCCAACTTGCTTCTCCCTGCTTCTTCCCAGCATTTTAGTTCCCAAAAATCACCTTTCCTCCCCCCTCTAAGGATTTTGTTCTGTTTTTCTTAAACTACTTACTTCATGCATACTGCCTTACTAATTTTTTTCTAATTACTTTCTGATATATCTTTTTCAGTCTATTTGTATTTAGCCCTAACACACGCTGTCATTTCTTGCTTATTTTTTTAGGATAACATTTTTTCCTGTATTTTACACCCAGTTCAGCATAGGAACTCCAGCATTTATTAGGCTACAAAGGGAACACCAAATACTGCCAAGCAGCCTGAAGACATTCTGTTCTAGGGAAGAGAACTACACTTGGAGACCTTCCTGCGCCACTAAAACTTCCCTGTAAAAGATAGACTCAGAATTTGACAAAATAGAGGTGTTTTTTTCTGAGCTTTTATATCACTGGTCAACACTTCACTGGAAGCCTGAGCTCAGTTAGAGAAACTTAACTTATTAAACAGTCTATTTAGCCAAAATATATAACTACTTACTTCATGCATACTGCCTTACTAATTTTTTTCTAATTACTTTCTGATATATCTTTTTCAGTCTATTTGTATTTAGCCCTAACACACGCTGTCATTTCTTGCTTATTTTTTTAGGATAACATTTTTTCCTGTATTTTACACCCAGTTCAGCATAGGAACTCCAGCATTTATTAGGCTACAAAGGGAACACCAAATACTGCCAAGCAGCCTGAAGACATTCTGTTCTAGGGAAGAGAACTACACTTGGAGACCTTCCTGCGCCACTAAAACTTCCCTGTAAAAGATAGACTCAGAATTTGACAAAATAGAGGTGTTTTTTTCTGAGCTTTTATATCACTGGTCAACACTTCACTGGAAGCCTGAGCTCAGTTAGAGAAACTTAACTTATTAAACAGTCTATTTAGCCAAAATATATTTCTACCGGATTTCTTAAATTCATTTTAATCCCGTTTAAGACCTAAATTTTAAATTTTTTGGGGGAGGGGTAATTAACAAGTCATCAAAGTGATTCATTTGAAAAATCTACCTGGGACTGACGTACCTGGTGAGTTGGCAGGAGGTGCAGGATCCCCCAGGCCGGCAGTGGGGCTGCTGCAGGCGGCAGCGGGCTCGGGAAGGGCTCCGTTGATGGCGGGCGGCAGCCCCAGCGCGGTCGGAGCCGGGACAGGCAGGGGTAGCACCATCGGGGACATGGCAGGGCCGGCCAGGTTTGTCGTAGTCTGCATCTTAACTTGTGCCATTGCCTGTCACTGCAAGGAAGAAATGGTTACAATGAGGGCACTCTGCATTTTTAATGACAGCACTGATATTACAGAATCACAGAATCTTAGTGGTTGGAAGGGACCTCTGAGATCATCGAGTCCAACCACAAAAAAAAAAAACAAAAAAAAAACAAAAGAAGAAAAAACCCCAAAAAACACACCACACCAAACGCCCACCAAAAACACCGCACCCACCAACTAAACCCCACACTCAACACCTCGCCATAAACCAATAACCTTGGGCACTAGAGCATGCCCTGAAGAGCCATGTCTATACGTTTCTTAAATCCCTCCAGGGATGGTGACTCCACCACCTCCCTGGGCAGGCTGTTCCAGTGCCTGACCACTCTCTCAGTAAAGTAGTTCTTTCTAATATCTAATCTGAATCTCCCCTGCCCCAACTTCAGACCATTTCCTCTGGTCTTGTCGTTCGTCCTTTGGGAGATCTTGGCCACCTGGGCACACTGCTGGCTCATGTTAAGCCTGCTGTCCACCAACACCCCCAGGTCCTTTTCTTCCGGGCAGCTTTCCAGCCACTCTTCCCCAAATCTGTAGTGTTGCCTGGGGTTGTTGTGACCAAAATGCAGGGCCCGGCACTTGGCCTTATTAAACCTCATCCCATTGTCCTTAGCCCATTGATCCAGTCTGTCCAGATCCCTCTGCAGAGCCTTCCGACCCTCAAGCAGATCAACACTCCCACCTAGTTTGGTGTCATCTGCAAACTTACTGAGGGTGCATTTGATCCCCTTGTCCAGATCATCAATAAAGATATTGAACAAGACTGGCCCCAGAACTGAGCCCTGAGGGACACCACTGGTGACCGGCCGCCAACCAGATCTAGCTCCATTGATCACAACTCGCTGGGCACGGCCATCCAGCCAGTTTTTTATCCTGTCTATGCCAGGATTCGCCAGTTTCTCCAGGAGAATGCCATGGGGAACAGTGTCAAAGGCCTTACCAAAGTCCAGCAACATCCGCAGCCTCCCCTCATTGAGAAAGCGGGTCACATGGTCATAGAAAGAGACCAAGTTGGTTAAGCAGATCCTCCCTTTCATAAACCCACCTCCTTAACCTTATGGATGTCAGTGGATCTAAGTGCTTGCTGAACTGTTAGCACATAAGCTCTTCCTTAACCCCAAATGCATTGATGTAGCTTGGTGCATGCTAAAATGTGATCACATCTTTGCTTTCCAACATTGGAGTCTAAATGCGATGAGAACCTGGCCCAAGGAGACCAGACGGCAGGGTCATTTTAAACGACCCATTAACAAAGCTGCTCTCTTTTTCCGTTCCTGCATCTGGGTGACAAAACTGTCCCCAAAAGTCCTGCCTCTCTCTGCACGCAGGGACACACAGCTCACAGGCGAAGAACATCAGCGCACACCCCAACTCCAGGCTCTGCTGCTGAGCTCCGGGGTGACCCTGCCTGAAATACAGCAGGAAGAATGACTATTCTACAGTAAAAATCCACACAATTATTCTGCGGATGAGATTAGCCAACTTCTCCAAGAGAGGATGTCTTTGCAACAAACTGCCAGAGCAACCTTTTGCCATAGGTCTTTTTTTCACTAAAGTACACACAAAATACCAAATGAGGCTACAAGAGAAAAATCTGCATTTTTTTTCCTGCCAGTTACAAAACTAGAAAAGAGAAAAAATAAGAAAACGACCAACAGAACTACCAAAGAAGCAAGTTCTGAAAAATCACTGCTCATCCAGTCAACAGGAAAAAAAAACAAGAAAATGACCAACAGAACGACCAAAGAAGCAAGTTCTGAAAAATCACTGCTCATCCAGTCAACAGGTGGAGCATTTCAGTCCGTGTATAAATTACTAGCACCAGGGTTTCCTAAACCAGCCTTCATTCCAGCACCTAAAGCATTTACCTGGAATATGCCAGGTACTAATTATCCCTCTCCATCTGCCAAAATGAGCTTCTTTATTCCCAGTACCTGTTCCCTGGCTAAGCCTAAAACCGTAAACAAACCAGGGGCAGGGCACGGATCCTTCATGCTATTCACTGAGAGTATGCTCCTTGGCAAAATTTTGGCTGCTGAGAAAGACCTCTTGCATAAACCCCACGGGAGGAGTTGAGAGGCCAGCTGGCACCCCAGGGATCCCACTGGAATAGGGCAGGAGACAGGCATTCTCAGTCCTCCAGGGAAAAGTCCTGGGCTTCTCTTTCTGGCACCAGAAGCAAGTAGGACGATGTATGTTATCTGGCAACCCCAGGCACAAATACAGGGTGGGTGGAGAATGGATTGAGAGCAGCCCTGAGGAGAAGGACTTGAGGGAGTTGGTGGATGAGAAGCTCAACATGAGCTGGCAATGTGCACTGGCAGCCCAGAAAGCCACCCCCATCCTGGGCTGCATCCCCAGCAGCGTGGCCAGCAGGGCCAGGGGGGGATTCTGCCCCTCTGCTCCGCTCTGGGGAGACCCCACCTGGAGCTCTGTGTCCAGCTCTGGAGTCCTCAGCACAGGAAGGACAGGGACCTGTTGGAGCAGAGCCAGAGGAGGCCACAAAGATGCTCCAAGGGCTGGAGCCCCTCTGCTGTGAGGACAGGCTGAGAGAGTTGGGGGGGTTCAGCCTGGAGAAGAGAAGGCTCCGGGGAGACCTTTGAGCCCCTTCCAGTCCCTCAAGGGGCTCCAGGAGAGATGGGGAGGGACTCTGGATCAGGGAGGGGAGACATAGGACCAGGGGGAAGGGTTTTAAACTGAAAGAGGGGAGATTGAGATGAGATCTCAGGAAGAAATTCTTTGCTGTGAGGGTGGTGAGAGCCTGGCCCAGGTTGCCCAGAGAAGCTGTGGCTGCCCCATCCCTGGAGGGGTTCAAGGCCAGGCTGGATGGGGCTTGGAGCAACCTGGTCTGGTGGGAGGTGTCCCTGCCCAGGGCAGGGAGTTGGGACTGGATGGTCTTTAAGGTCCCTTCCCACCCAAACCATTCCATGATTTAGTAGCCTGGACACTGACTGTACTCTTTAGGGTTCATACACACGATCTGATCTGTACAGAGAGACAAAAGCCATAGCAGCCAACAAACAGCCTGGGCACCTGGGACCTCTCCCAGCAGCAGCACTGGTGGCTCTGGCTGAAGTCGAGGAGGACAGGAGCCCAGCTCCCCTCTGTCACGGGCAGCACCATTAAGTCCTTTGCTACTTCTGCTGAGGGAATTCTCTCTTCCTCAGCAAAAATCCCTGAAAAAGTTTTTAACTGAAGTCTTACTGAAATGAGTACAACTCTATAAAAAATTCTGATTACATCAGTATTTTTACCTCCCCCCAAATCTATTAAAAAACATCCAAGTATCTCTACTCAGAGATGAAGACTCCAAATCACTGGATACACCGTGGAGTGCAGCCACTTGAACACAGTTACAGCAGCATAATGAAAATAATCAATCCTATCACTGCAACTCTGTGCTTTCGAGAAGAGGCTCAGGCTGGAATGCCATTTTTATTACTGAGAAAAGATAGATGACTGACTTAAATCTCCAGAAAGGCAAAAGTAAAACAATTAAAAGTTAAGCTGAGATGTAATCACTTGCCCTTTTCATAAATATCATCAGTAACATGCTAACAGTGACAGATTTTAAAAATACATACGCAGCTAGAGGAGAGAGATTCCACCACTGCATGTGTTCAAAAATATGGGCTAAATTCAGGCTGCAGAAATCCTACTGTCACTACACAGTGAGTGTCACACAGCAGTATTGTTAGAAGTGTCTAACCTAAAGACTGAGAATGTGTATAGCTATAGAAGACTTTGGTATACTCTGCATTTAATTCTGATTTTAAATATATCAGTATAGATCCAAATGAATTCAAAAAGTCTCTTCATTGTAACCATCAAAGTCACCGATGGCAAAATCAGGCTGTACTTATCACACATCTTTAAAACGAAGCAACGTAATAGGAAGTATTACCACAATCATTGAAATTTAAGAAACTCCTTAGAATATTTCCAGCATTTTAGCTTATAACCATGAGTAGGGGGAAGCCATGGCTCATCTAAGGCTGTATGAGATACTCCTGAACGCCTGCTCTCAGGCCCTGCCCGTGGTGAACTGTCCCTTCAGCTTCCAGTTTATTCTTCTTTTCAAGAAAGCAGAAATCACTAACAACCAAAAAAAATCCTGTGCTTTATGAAGTGTATTTACACCTCCTCTAGTATTGCTGGGATAATTTGTAGGATTGATCCTTTTCTATTAAGGATTGAAAAAAATCAGTTTGATAACAGCGTCTATGAACTGTAAAAATGAACTAGATAAAGTTTAGGAGAAAGATGTTTCTTATCCTACAGTAAAGTGTGTAGGAAATTAAACTGTGAAATCAGAATAAAACCATGATGTATCAGGTGTTGGGGTTGGCTTGTTTTATTAGTTTTCTATTATATCTAAAGCTGAAGAACTCCTACAAGAAACCGTAACTGTTTTGTAAATTAATCTGCATAAACAAAGATACCCAGAAGGTAAATATAATTGTAAGGACTCTTAATTACACGAGATATGAAGATAATCAATTTGTAACCCGTTCTAAACTCACTAATAGAGAAGTAACAGAGAGAACAGAGTTAACATGGCGCTGCCATCTCATTTTCACATTATCAAGCAAATACTCTTTGACATCATCACAAAAAGGGGAAAAAATCTATATGCTGCAATTCTTTACATGCTTCACCTGCACCAGTTTCCTACTGTTTTAAAAACTGTGACACAAAACCATTTTGTGGCCTTTCAGCCACAAGCACAAACCTGTTTGCCACCACACAACCAAACGGAGGACTTGGGGAGAGAGATGTCACTAAGATGGTCAGGGATGAAATGCAGTTTTATGATCAAAATAATTTTCAAGCTTCTATATGGGTATTTTTGAAAAAAATCTGGTGTACACAAAAGGGATGGTTTACTTCAGATATTGTGAAGATCATTAGAAAAGCCTCCACACCCCATTTCAGATATCAACCTAACTCATATCTCCAGGACAAAGACTTGGGAGTCCTGGTGGACAACGGGATGCCCAGGAGCCAGCAATGGGCCCTGGTGGCCAAGAAGGCCAATGGCATCCTGGGGGGCATCAGGAAGAGTGTGACCAGTAGATCCTGCCCCTCTGCTCTGCCCTGGGGAGGCCCCATCTAGAGCACTGGGTCCAGTTCTGGGCTCCCCAGTTCAAGAAGGACAGGGAACTGCTGGAAAGAGTCCAGGGGAGGGCTATGAAGATGATCAAGGGAATGAAGCACCTCTCTGATGAGGAAAGGCTGAGGGACTTGGATCTGTTTAGTCTGGAGAAGAGAAGTCTGAGGGGTGATCTGATCAACACCTATAAATACTGAAAGGGTGGGTGTCAGGAGGATGGGGCCAGGCTTTTTCAGTGGTGCCCAGGGACAGGACAAGAGGAAATGGGCACAAACTGGAACATGGGAAGTTCCATCTGAACATGAGGAGGAACTTCTTTGCTGTGAGGGTGGCAGAGCCCTGGCAGAGGCTGCCCAGAGAGGTGGTGGAGTCTCCTTCTCTGGAGACATTCAAACCCACCTGGACATGGTCCTGTGGGACCTGCTCTGGGTGACCCTGCTCTGGCAGGGGGTTGGACTGGGTGATCTCCAGAGGTCCCTTCCAACCCCATAGCATTCTGTGATTCTGTGTAGCAACTTGCTACACCCAAGTGTCTCCAGAGGAGTTGCCCTGGATGCCAGACACTGGTTACAGGCACCCGGATCTCTCAGAGAACACTGGGGCTGCCATCACTGTGTCTTTATCGAGCCACCAGCTGCCAGGATGAGATATCTCAGCAATTATATTTCTTCTGGTCTTAATCAGACACACATCTAGCCAGCTGAGGTCTGCAAGTGGCAGCGCTGCTGTGGCTGCAAAGTTGTGTTCCAGAGCTTATGGTGCCTTCTGAAATGCTGCAAGGTTTCTTCCTCTCTTAACCCAACCTTCCCAGCTGTATTAGAAATGCTACAGGCACTTAAAGGGATGTAAATATACACTAAGTGAATTTTACTCCATTTCTGCTTTTGTAAATACTTTGTATCTAGGCAATTACACAGGTTTTCATTAAACAGTTGGTATTAACTTTCTTGTTAATCTATGTGTAAGCTGTGAACATTCCTCTCACACTAAAAATAACCAAAACAAAACAAACTTGCAATTAAAGCAACAAACCAAAACCACCTCACATTTTAAAGTGAAAATACTTCTGTCAAACCTTCCATTCATTTTTCTTCTAAGTTAGGAAACACATTAATTTAGGTATATTTACAGATTTAGAGTATTTTTTGACAACTGTGAATACGCTTATGTCATGCTAAAAAGCACCACCCAACATGAAGAATTACTTCACTTTTTTCTGATGATTATCATTTCCTGTACTCTTCTGGAACACGAACCACTTTAGAGCCTTAAATCCTATGACATAAG